AGCAGAAGGCAGAGGCAATGCTGCAGGCTAATCACTATGATATGGATATGATCCGGGAGTGTGCAGAGAAGGTCGCTTCCCACTGGCAGCAGCTGATGCTGAAGATGGAGGACCGTCTCAAGCTTGTGAATGCCTCTGTTGCCTTCTATAAAACTTCTGAACAGGTACAGAAATGCTACATGATCTGTGTTTGCTTTGGCTAATTCTTCAGTGTGGCATGAAACAGCATTACCAACAGAAATGCTACATGATCTGTGTTTGCCTTGGCTAATTCTTCAGTGTGGCATAAAACAGCATTACCTTAAAAATTTGTTTACTAGGTTTAGTTATATTTACTAATTTGGTAACAACTGCAGTTATACAAAGAAAGCAAAAAGCAAATCCTCTTACGACCTGCCATAGAATGAGAAACCATATATTGGAGCCTTTTCATACGTAAAAGAGTCTTAGAAAACAATAACTTTTTACCAGGCCTGTAGTGACATGACAAGGAACAATAGTTTTAAACTGAAATGCAGTGATTTGCATTGTATGTCAGGAAGACGTTTTTTGCAGTGAGGGTGATGAGGCACTGCAACAGGTTGCTTGGAGAAGTTGTGGATGCCCCATCCCTGAAAGTACTCGAAGTCAGGTTGGGCATGGCTTCTAGCAACCTATCTAGTGAAAGATGTTCCTGGCCATGGCAGCAAAGCTGGACTATAAATGATGTTAAAAGTCCCTTTCAACCCATTGTATTACAAATGAGTATTAGACAAATTGTATTAATTGGTAAGAGACTACAGTGTAATTTGTTTGGCTATACTTGCTTCAATTAACAAACTTCAAAGAAGGTACATGACGAAAGTGCAGTGACTATTGATGAAGGCTGAAACCTTCTGCCTCCTGTATCACTTTACCTTTTAATATTCCTCATATTTTTTTTTATTAAGAAAAGTTTTGTAGAACACCTTCAAGCTGGAACACACTGTGCAAGTTGTATTGAGGATTTTTGCTTGTTTCACGAAGTTTTGCTTAAACCATAAATAAGTTGCACATAGGCTTTAATGGAAGTACTTCAGGTGGTTAATTCTGGTTTTTGCAAGGGAGTCAGAGAAAAATCAGCTTCATCCTACTTGTCCACAGAAATATTTGGGGGAAGGTTGACAAGATTGCTTCCTATGCAGTAATAACTTAAACCCATCCTGAACTATGCAGTCAGAGAGGCTGAGGAAGATGGACAACTTTAGGGATAGCCTCTGAGCAATTCCACATAAGCAGGCCAATGCTTGCAAACCTATAGCCAAAGTTTGTTGCCTTAAGTCCCTATCAAAACATGTCAGAAGATAGGGTATATGTAAGGGATAGATTGGTTTTCCCTTTTTTAGGCTTGAATTTTGATTTTGTCTTACTGAGTTATGATTATATTGGTCTCTGTTTTCCTGATAGGTGTGCAGTGTGCTGGAAAGCCTGGAGCAAGAATATAAGCGAGAAGAAGATTGGTGTGGGGGAGCAGACAAACTGGGTCCCAACTCTGAAACAGATCATGTTACTCCCATGATAAGCAAACACCTGGAACAGAAGGAGGCATTTCTAAAGGTATGGTCGATGATTTTTATTTTTTATTTTTTTTTTTGGTCTTATGTGCCTTGGAAAGCATGCAGGCAAACAATCACTCTTAGAGTGCTGAAATGGCTGTGGAAAGCAGCAGTGCCCATTTGAAAGCTACAGGTATGGCCTGAACTGCAAAGATGTGGGAAGTGGCATGTTAGCTGCTTCTGACAGTGATTAAGAGAGTCCTGCCACGTGATAAAATTGTAGCTAGTTTTATAAATATATTTCCTGTTGAGCTTCAGTAGATGTCAGGTTCCCCAGTGTGACTGAAGAGGAATTGGAAATCTCTGCTTTGAGCAACTGTCATTCTACAGAATGCTTAAAGGCTGCTGCTCTGGAAGAGATGTGACAGTCACATAGTGCCACTGCTGCCTGTGCATTAGAGCAGCTCTCAGATATACTTGGACTACAGCAGAGTATGGAAGGAAGAAAATTGCTAGACAAGCATGTGGGAGTAGTTGGATTTGTTTAATAGCCTTCAGAGAAATTAAAGGGTTTTTTTCCAACTGATGTCCTGGTGAAGAAAGTTATTGATCAAACTGAATTAAATGTGTAACAGGTGCTTGCAGAGGAGGGTAACTAACTCTGTAATCAAAGACATTTTACAGCATCACCATGTCAGGCTACTAATTGTCTAGAACTTTTTTTGTTACAAACCTTTTTGTTCTCAGTGCATAGATTACAATACTCAAAAACATTTTAGCATAACCCAAAGTATACTGTCAAATAGGTCCTTCTGCAGCTGGCATGAGTTACCAACCTTTGTTTTAAAATGGTATGAGAAATGACTTTGTGTCTTTGTTACTGTATCAGACGATGCTAAGTTTATCTAACCTTTTAAAGTAGCATTTCACACTCCGCATATTAAAAATAAGGCAGCCAGTCCATATGTAGGACTTGGTGTACATTAAAATGAAGGAGACAGCTGAGCTGAGTGTTTTTCCTGCCAGGTGAGTAAGGTTTAACTGCTGTTTGATGGAAAGACTATTTTAATGATTGGCTTGGCTTAGCTTACTTGTGGAAAGATTTAACAAGCAATGCTTTCCAAAATTGTAGAGGGTGAGAAATGTACAAAACAGGGGTGAGGAAAATCCTTAATCCCTATCTGGATGTGTATTTGTGCATCTTCAAATAAAGTAATTCCTCTGACTCTCTAGTTTTGAATGCCGATGTCTTCCTGAAATACCTGCACAGGAACAGTGTCAACATGCCAGGGATGGTGACACACATCAAAGCACCTGAACAGCAAGTGAAAAGTAAGGGGTTTCTTGTTCTTTTTTTTCCCCTCACAAGAATGTAATCTTGGTGGTAGGGTAGTGAAGCCTGCCCAGGTGGAAAAAGTTCTGTCAGGCTTAACAAGAACCAATTAAAATTGCTTGCACGCTTTGAAGGAGCTGCCAGTCTTCAAAGTCTTCTATACTCAAATGAAGTTGCTTGGAATTTATTTATCTGCTTCTTACACCTAATCTTCTTTCAAATGTGCTGCTTTTGTTGAGATAATGAGATAGTGAACTTCCACATGATAATGTTTGTTGTGAAGCCAAGTGTGAGCTGATCACTGTAGGCTTACTCAGGATGTTAGTGTCCCGCACTCTGCAAGTTCCATGAGAGTGTGAGGTTAGATAATCCCTTGAATGATGCCTTTGGGCCCTTCATATAGTTTGAATCAGTACTGAGGAACTTCGTGGAGTATAGAATAACTGGCATCATGTTTAAATTAGATGTGTAGATAGGTAGTAGTTCAGGTGAAGCAGGAAAGAACTGTTACATGAGGCTTGGCTTTTGCTAAGATTAGTAATATATGATGCAGATTTAAAGTGTACTATGTACTCTAGGGAATGGAGAGAGACAGAGACCTGTAGGGCTTTCAGGGACAAAAGTGCAAAAATTAATAGGGTATGCATAACTGATGGGTGAGGTGGGCAGAACAGAGAGCAGAGAGATTCAGAAGTAAATATTCCATTTTGCTAATTTAATTGCCAGTCGATGTGACTGCAAAAACTCGGGCCATGCTACGGACTCAAACCCAGAGAAGTCTAACTGTATAATTAATTGCTGTTTCCAACTACCTAAAGGGGAGTTAGGCATATGTTGGAGCCAAACTCAGAGGAATGTGGAAGTAGGTCCTGAGGAAATATGTTGGAGCCAAACTCAGAGGAATATGGAAGTAGGTCCTGAGGAAGAGTTGCAGCAAGGAAAATTCTGAGGGTTACAGCAGGATGGAGTAGAGCAGGTAGCCCAGAGAGAGGTGGTAGAATCTCTGCCCTTAAGAATTTTTAAATCTTAGTTGAACAAACCCCTGAAAAACTTGAGAATCTCTGCCCTTAAGAATTTTTAAAACTGAGTTGAACAAACCCCTGAAAAACGAAGTTAGTCCTGCTTTAAAGAGGAGATAGAAACAGATGGTCTCCAGAGGTCACTTCCGCTCTAATTTACTTGATGAAGGTATTACAAAAGGGCATGCTCACTGTTTCACTTTACTACAAGGTGAAAAGAGTTTGCATTAAACTTACCCATGTATCTGGCACTACTCAAATCGAAGATTTCCCTGTGTTCAATTTTTTTGTGTTGGAAAAAAATAGGGTACTGGCTGTGATTTTCACTCGAGGAAATAATTGGAAGCTTTGAGCATGTAGAGCTAAAACAAAGGATTGTTTTTCCTCTGCTCCCAAGACATCAGCATTTACAGGAGTGTACAAGACAAAATCTCCACACAAATGCTGATAGCATCTATAACTGAAGTGTTGTTGACATAGTAATGAAAACAAAGCAGAAGCAAGCAGGAAGTTGTAGCTATCACACTTACTGAGTATTAGGCAAACTTTTTAAAAATTCAGTTTTGAAGTCTATGAAATAACAGTCCTTCTGAGACAGGTAAATGTGTTCAGATGAGGAAAGAGTAGAAAAGCCTCTGCTAATGTCCCTAAGAATTACAATTATATGTCAGAGCCATTGTGCTATGCATATTCTATGTACATTTAAAATTCTGGATGAGTGTTTAAAAAACAACAAAAAAAGAAGCAGAAATCCCCAAGCAGGAAAAAAGTAAGCTGTGTACTCTTAACACTTTTTCCCCTCTATAAGCCATGTAATATATGCTTCTGACACTTAAACATGAGTCAAGATAGAACTACAAGGATTCCTTCCTTTTAGATCTCAGTGGTATGGTGGTACCTGAACAAGTGATTTAAAAGTTCACTCTCATCTTTCTGTTCAAATATGCATATAAGGGAAAAAATAAAGCTCTTCTCATCTCTTTTCTAAATAGAGGAAAAACTCCAGAGTGTTAATTTTGTTTTGGTGAAATAGAGGTTACCTGTATTCTACTAGAGCATTACATGCTCATACTCAGCTGTATGCTTGAAACTGGCAGACTGCAGTCACTATATAATATATGAATCAATGCTTTAAAAACTTGAGAAACCATTGAATTTCTGCAGAAATGCTGAACATTTTTCGAAACCCTCATTCAGTGGCATACTTGACCCTTGTTCCCATCTGCAGATTATGATACCTAGAAAGGCAATGCATTGATCTAGGCCAAGTTTGGCTAAGCACATGCTTCATGGGAAACAGGAATTAAAATGGTACGGAACTCTGAGAGGTGTCTTTCTGTCCCTGCGTACCAGTGTAAATAATTTCCTTGATGTGCAATTTAAGAGTATCCAAATACTGTCTCATACACCATGGCAAAGCTGAATTTTAGGAAGGAGTTGTGGCCTAAATCTGTGTTGTGGCAGGTGGACTCAGCTGGTGACAACTACTGTAAGCTCACAAATGGAGCATCTTCATCTTTGCTCCTGCTGCTAAGTTTGTGTTTCTCTGTTACCTGTCTCTACTGTACAGGCTATGACTGAACATAGTACAGTAACTTGTCTAATGGTGCTTATATTTTTAGATAGGTTGATAAGAGGGTACAAGATGCATAAAGACAGCTGAGAGCTCTCTGGGCCTGGAGAATAAGCTCAAAGTTCAGGAAACAATCCTAACAAATGTTAAAATCAAAGAAAATAACAGCAGGGACTATAGTTGAGATGGCTTGAAACAGAGCTTTTTTTTTCCGAAACCTAGTATTAAATACTGATGTTCTATAACTTCCTGAGAGTATTTTATAGAATATTTTTCTCCTTCTTGTCAGTCCAAGAAATTAATGGCAGTAACACTAACAATGCCTAGCCAAATATCTCTCACTGCCTTGCCATCTGTATCATGTCCTGACAGAACAAATGCTGATCCAATTTAGCTAAATTCACCTTGCTTGCTCTTTGTCAGAACTACTTTGCATGCATCACTATCAAGATGTCTCTTTTTATATGGTGTGTCCAATTGGGTGTGTTGCACTGTATAATAGTGTCCCTCCCACCCACCTCATCTCCCTGCCTCCCAAAATCTGGCACATATTCTGAGCAAGCATTTTGGAGGTGACATAAGGCAGAAATAAAACTGCCAAAGCAGGAGAGGCTCATAGCAGATCAGCTCATAGCTTGGCTAAGGGACAGATCAGTTGAGGCATATTTGAGTGGAGCCTGACCAGCAGAAAGAAAACCTTGACTGCAGTGACCAGATTCCAACAAAAAGCAAGTTCTGGGTGATCTCAGCACCCCGTGGCAAGTGGGAATACTGTGCTTCCAACCAGGAGGATGTTGGCGGTGATGCAGACAGGTTTCATAATTCCCAGGGAGGCTGTCACAAGTGGTTGTGTTTGGTCCCAGTTCACTGATGAGGCACACAGAGATACTTTTCCCCGCAGCCTTCCTTTTATTTGAGCTTTTCTGTCAAACTGTTTCTTGGAGTTGTTGGCTTTTGGGATGTAGAGCATGGTGGACCTGCACAGTGAGCAGGGTGGAATGTAGAAACCTTTAAGACACCTAGCACCTGATAGTCTCCAAGTAACTGTGGAAAATAGCCAGCTGTGGGTCTAAGTAGAAAAGCAAGTAAAGCATTAGTGTGAAGAATGTGCCTTTTTTGTGGTCCCTTCTGCTTCTGCTAGACCTCCCCTTTAGCTCTGTGCACTTCTGACAGAATCACCTGAGACATTGGGTGTCCTCATTTCCCTGTGTGTCAGCTTGCCATCTGGGTTTGCAGTAGCTGCAAAGTCAAGTAGGGCTGCTGCTATGGAAGAAGCAATGGGTAAAGTGAGCTTCACAAGAAACTGCTAGAATGACTGCTTTTGACAAAAAAACCATAAGCATTAAAAGAGCAGAGTTCAGATAAAATCTTCTGCATATTATAAACAGGGAGGTCTTTGATATTCAGGAAGAATTTAGAAGTCAGACATGTGGAATTACATTATGGGATTTGTATGTGATTTCTCAGTGGCAGACTGTTTCTGATACTCAAGAACAGAATAAGAAATTGTGGAGTTAATTAATTGCCTGGAAATTTTCTCAGGGCTTAAATTTGCTCATATTTGAACAAGTCAGCTTACTCAATTATACCGTATTGGTTTTGATTTTTTTTTTTGTGATAGATAATTACAAACCTAGTAATTGTCTATTTTTATTTCTTGGGTTTTTGTTCATATAATAACTACTTATGCTGCATTTGATCTTGTGGTGACCTAAGGTTATATATTTGTTCATATGTATTAAATCATTAAAATACTTTATAGGATACTGCTATATTAAAATCATTTTTTTGGTGATTACTATGATGATTACTTGTACCTGCTCATTCTTTCTGAGGAAACTTCATCAAGAGCCATCCTTACCAGACTACATTTTTAATTCTGCTGTCAGCAGTGCTGGTCCCTGTGTGAAAAATAATTGAGAGAAAAATGTGTCAGTAGTAACTTTTAATTACGTCTTTACTTTCTTTAACCAACATTTCTGTAAGTCATGAAAAAGGGACCCTGTGTTTCACGAATATCGGGAGAAAGCAAAGCGTAACAGAAAGAGTAAGTGTATTGTAAATTCTAAAATCTAAAGTAGTTTATTTCCCTGATTTTGATGTGATATTTCAAATCCGGTTGTCATAACCTCGGTTGAAACTATTTTCATTTCTTCAGATATCTTGAATGAACTCTTCCAGAGGGAGAACCGTGTGCTGCATTATTGGACCATGCGTAAAAGACGTCTTGATCAGTGCCAACAGTATGTGGTGTTTGAAAGAAGTGCCAAACAGGTGAGGGTTTTATATAAAGATCCTCAAGGGTTGACATGCAATGTCTTGTCCCATGGTAACAAATTTTTCATTGACTTCAGTTTTTCAAATGGCTGAAAGGTCAATTATTAAAATAGAAAGTTAAATTATTTACTTTTCCTTTAATACAGAACAACTAAATTTGTAGAGCCAGGTCGTCTGTACTGCTGTAACTTAAAGGTAGTGTTTTGCTTCTGCTAGCTTCATCTGGTACTGGCAGATCTCATTTCTGCAAGCTTGTGTTTGACAAATTGTTACGCTTGTTAAGTTTTACCCACACACCTAATTTGACTGGGGAAATAACAGGCAGCAACATTTTTCTCAGACACTGCAGAAAAAATATCTAATTAAGTTGATTGGCAGTTCTAGAAATCTGACAAGTTGGATAACTCATTAAACAATAATAACTGAATCACTTTGGTTTTCCAATTCTATGTGTATTTGGTATTGTGGTTTCTTGCATAGTAGATCCACCTCTTTGTATTTTGTCAAGTTTAGCAGTCTGGAAAGAACTGTTAAGTGACCACCACACACAAAAAATCTCCTTCACTAATTAAAACACATGTCATTAAAATAAGTAGGGGGTTCAAGGCAGAATTAGTAACTAGAATGATCCGCAATGTTTTATTACTGGTTTGTTGGGGTTTTTTTAACTGGATATAGGACAAAGAAAGGAAGCTATCTGTTCCTGTTCTGCAGAAAAGGACACGCCCATAGTGTGAAATATAGTTAGTTCCACTTTAAAGGACTCAAAAAACTAATTTTTATTTTTCTGACAGCGAATTTAGACAAAAGTTCAAACACTAGTGGTCTGTTTTATTCTCTCGAAAGAATTCTCAAGTCTGTCTTTCATGCTTTCACAAAGAAATTACTGCAAGATAAATCTTAGAGTGCATTTGAAGATTGATACCTGTTTAAAACAACAACAACAACACCCCTTCCCTGCCCCCCACCCCACTTTTGAATAACCTTAATTTCAACCTCTGCCAAGCACATGATCTACTTGCTTTTGTATAGAGATTACTGACTAACAGGCAAATACTAGAGATAAAGATCTGTCAGCATTTTCACTGTGAATCCCATTTTTCAGCAATCACCAGTTCAGTCATCGAAAAACAAAGCAAACCAAACTGTATATGGGACACCACACTGATTAGCCCAAAAAATTGAGATGTTGCTGTCTTTCATTTCTGTTTGGAAGTTGGAAGGAGACATTCTTTGTGCTTTCAGATCTTGATGCCCTGCAATGTACAGTTTGTAAGCAACAGTAGACAATGGTAGATTCTCAGATCCTTCAAGAATTAAGAGCTTTACCTGATCCCTCAACTGATTTCCCCAGTTTGTGTAGTGATACCTCACATGAAATTAGAGCTGATCTAAACTGTAGGAATTAACATCAAGATGAACTTTCTGTCAAATTGTGCCTCTAGAGAACTGTCAACAAGTTATGAAAGGACAACACTTCATTCTCATGGCTGGGGGATTGAAACTAAATGATCTTTGAGGTCTCTTCCAAACCAAACCATTCCATTATTTGGGGCTGGGAAGTTTTTGTTTATCATTCATTCCAACATTGTGTAATAAACCCACTTAAAAAAGGTAGAAGTGAAAAAGTTAAAAGCGAAAAGTGTCAAATGCTGTTAGTAATACCAGCGATGGCCATGCTGCCTGTCCATATCAGTTTTCACTTACAAAGATTGACATTAGAATGACAAGGGGTGTCATAGAGGTGTTTGGTTAAAATGTGGATTTTTTTGCTAGTAGTCCAGGAGTTGTTGGTTTGTTTCCATTGGCAAATTTTTAAAAGCATAGGCCCATCTCATCAGGCTTGCGTGTGCACTAGTATGTGACTAGGTAAATGGCATCCTAGCATTCACACTCAGTGTTGAGTTTTGAAGGCTTTGTACTCACTCTAGTTTTTTCATCAAGAGGGATAAAAACATCCTAAGTGGAAGTAGGATAATCACAGTTGTTCCATCACAGCCTTGATGAGCTTTTCTGATTCTGTGTGAAGTTATGCTCTTGAAAGATACATATCTACTATGTACCAAGATAAAACTTTTCTTATTCTTGGTAATGTGGATAGATCAACTCTCTTAATTTCAGTTTACCCTTTTAAGGGAAGAGTGAGGACCCACTAACAATCTACTTTTTCTCTTGAGGTATTAAACTTTTATCTAGTGCTGTACATATTTACTGAAGGCACAGCAGATACACGTGCATTTAGTAATAAGATGTTTCTAAGCAAGCTGTATTAACCTCTTTGAACTTCTGACACTGGCTTTGTTAGAAACAAGAAGTTTCTAAGTTCACACACCTGTGCATACTGCTGTAGGTAGCCTGCATTTAGAGCTGCAAAACAGTCTTCAGTTGGATTTTTACTGTTATGTGACAGTTTGAGAGGACTTTTTTTTTCCAGTAGCCAGAAATTACTCATGACCACTGAGTTATGCTTGAAAGAGCAGCAAGACTTTTTTTTTCCAGTAGCCAGAAATTGCTCATGACCACTCAGTTATGCTTGAAAGAGTAGCAGATATTAATGGGGGTAGAACATATATAATAACATGGATCAGCATTTTTCATAATAGTGCAAGAATAAGGTGTCAGGATGTGGAAGGGAAACAGTTTGCCTTTGCAGTTCTTAGTTCTTTTTCTGCCTTTACATACTTTAATTGGTTTAACTGATACATCTCACCATTCCTTCTCTGCTGCAGGTTTAATTTCTAGGAGCACAGACCATACTTTGTGAGGCTGAAGAGGGAAGTGATAGTTAAACGTTATGTGCTTGGAAAGTTTAGCCTGCACATTTGGTGGTCTTATGTCCATTTTTACAAGTTGGAAAATGCATATTTCTGAGTACAGATGTCCTGTGTGGCACCAAAAAAGTGATTTTCCCCCCCCCCCTCAGCTGGGGAGTATACTACCAAAACTGTGAACACAGTCAGGTAGAACCTTTTAATAGTGTACTGCTTTAGGCCTGTGGTACTGGACTCCCTGAAGTATTCAGATTCATATGTCATTCTTAATGTTTTAAGCATTGCTTCATAAACTAAGCGAATTATTTCAGAGTTACAAGCTGTTTGATATTGTAGAGGTATTAGATGATTGCCACAAGTGACATGGAGTAAAATTTACCTGTAGTCAATCTGTGTATGTTGAAATACTGATTGCAAGTGATTGATTTATATTGGAAAAAAATATATTGTCTTTTCTCTTTTCCTTCATTATTGCTTTATTTAGGCTCTGGAATGGATTCATGACAACGGAGAGTTTTATTTGTCCACACATACTTCCACTGGTTCCAGTATCCAGCACACTCAAGAGTTGTTAAAAGAACATGAAGAATTTCAGATCACAGCAAAGGTAAAATAAAGAGAAAAAAACCATCACAGAAGAGTAAGAGTTAGAAGGGACCTCTGGGGATCATCTAGTCCAACCCCGCTGCCAAGGCAGAGTTGTCTATAGCAGGTTGCCCAGGAATGCATCCAGGTGGATTTTAAATGTCTCCAGAGGGTGAGACTCCACAACCTCTCTGAGCAGCCTATTCCAATGCTCTGCCACCCTCAACATAAAGAAGTTTCTTATGTTGAGGTGCAACTTTTTGTGTTTTCGTTTATGGCCATTGCTCCTTACCCTGTCTCTGTGCACCACTGAAGAGAGTGCACATTCCTCTTGACAGCCACCTTTGAGATACTTGTATGTATTGTATCTCAGAGCCACCTTTGAGATACTTGTATGTATTTTATCTCAGTCTTCTCTTCTCTAGACTAAACAGCCCCAGCTCCTGCAGTCTCTCCTAGTAAGAGATGCTCCAGACCCCTAATCATCTTGATGGCCCTCGGTCGGTCCCTCTCCAGTAGCTCCTTGTCTTCCCTGAACTGTGGAGTCCAGAACTGAACACAGTACTCCAGATGTGGCCTCACCTAGGGCTGAGTAGAGGGGGAAGAATCACCTCCCTCAACTCGCTGGCCACACTCTACCCTATGCACCTCAGATATCATTTGCCCTCCTGGCCACAAGGGCACACTGCTAGCTCATGTTCAGCTTGTCATCCACCATGACGCCCGGGTTCTTCTCCAGAGAACTGCTCTCTAGTAGGTCAGCCCCCAACCTGTAGTGGTATTTGGGGTTATTTCTACCCAGGTGCAAGACCCTACAATTGCCCTTGTTGAACCTCATAAGATTTCTCTCTGCCCAGCTCTTCAGCCTATCAAGGTCTTGTGTATCAGCCACTCCCCCTATCATCAGCAAACTTGATTAGGTGCATTCTATCCCTTTGTGCAGGTTGTTGATAAACAAGTTGAATGAAAATTGAATTATGTAACATTTGAAACAAAAGAAAAGAGCTGAATTCCCCTTGACCCCCAAAAAATCCCCCAAGGGTATGTCCGTCAATATCTGTTTACTTGCAGTGAGTTTCTGTATTTCTCCTGGGAACAGAATAAACCAGAAGATAATCAGCAGATAGTCATCATTACTGGAGCTCCATGAGCCCTATGTGCTGTTGATTTCTCATGGCAGAATCGTAGTGAGATTGCTTAAAAATGTTTTCAATACCTACAAACCTTGCAGGGCTTTTGATTTGCACTTTTATGTCCTCACGACTGTGGATTACTGAACGTTTATTTAGGATATAAAACACAACAAGGCATATTATCTTTCAGCTGTGACTTAATTAGAAGATAATAGAAAAATTAAAGCTTTATTTTTTAGGTAACTAATTTTAGTAAAGTATTCTGTGATTCTGGTATAAACCTTTTTGAGTCATGGCAGCACAATGTTGTCCTACATCTCTGGAGGCCTATACAGAGATGCATATGTTGCTGGTGAGGCTAACCTGTTTTCACATGTGAAAGACAGACAACCAGCGTATGACTGAAGTGCCTGAGTTTATGTAGCCTTGTCTGTCTCTGTGTTCTATTTTGTCACCTGTTTCTACCCCTTGGTTCTCCAATCTTCATAGACAGATAATAGAACCCAAGAAAGTAAGCAAATGTACATTTGTATGAAGGGATCATCTCAGGAAGAGACTTGGAGATAGAGTTGATCATGGAATATATGGGAAGGGAGAAAAGAGGATACAGAAAGAATGGAGATCACTTTTGATTTTCAAACCTGGATTTTCTTTGATCTGAGCTTTGCTCTAGCCTTTGTTCTGCAGGATCCCTTCCAGCATGCAGAGCACTACTGCTCCCCCTCGTTTCCTCTGTCAGCCTGCAGATGACGTGGGTGCCCATTTTGAAAGGATGTTGTTTGTGCCACTCCCTTGGCATTTCGCTACTGACCGGGGGTTGCATTAGCCCTTGCTGATTCCACACTGAAAAGAAATGCTTGGATGAGGGACCGTTAGGAAAGAAGAATTTAAAACAAAAAGCAAAACAAAAGAAGAAGAGGACAAGCTATTAATTTTTTCAACTGACAAAACTGAGTCAAGTTTTTATTGACTGTTTTGCTTAACTCCCTATTACCGAGGGCCCTGACAGTACACTTCATTCTGACATGCTATCAGAGAGAAAAAAGTGGATGTATAAACTCATCCATTGTGGATGACTTAAGATTTACATGAAAGAGAGTGCATAGTCTTAGGCAGCTTGCTCTTTGAGAAAAGCCCTTAGTCACAGATTTGGTGATGCCTACTTGTTCTCTTAGATTCTCTTGAACAACTGAATGGCAGCACAGCCTTCAGGTGTATCAGCCACTCCTCCCGCACAAAAGTCTAAAAAAGATCAAAGGAATACAGTCTTAGTCTGTTACAGTGTAAAGCATATAACAAGACTTATCTCCATCTCAGTGTTTCAGCGGTGTCTAAAGGATGTAGATACTTGAGACTGTGGACCAGGTCTAATACCAGTGCTTCAGTGGTAATGAACAAAATACCGTCTATGGCGTCAAACCCCCTCGTGCTATTTTTATGTAGAAAAAGGGTATCTCTTTAAAGGAGTTCTGGGAATAGAGAGGAAGAAAGTAGCTCCTTTGGTGACTTCTCCAATTGCACTCAGTAACAAGTTAACCAAAATGACCCCCCACATGACAGGTAGAGCTAGTAACTGTTCGATATTTTCCTGTTTTCATAGCAAACCAAAGAGAGGGTGAAGTTGTTGATACAGCTGGCTGATGGCTTTTGTGAAAAAGGGCATGCTCATGCAACAGAGATTAAAAAATGTGTCACAGCAGTGGACAAGAGGTACAGAGACTTTTCCCTGCGCATGGAGAAATACAGGACCTCTTTAGAGAAAGCTCTGGGTATTTCCTCCGATTCCAATAAATCGGTAAGAGAAATTTGAGTGTGATGACAGACAAACAAGCTTTGCTTGCATTTGATTTAGTTATCATTTTCTCCTGTCTCCTTCCTTAATCAATTCTTCCTTTCTTTAATAAAGAGCAAAAGCTTGCAGCTGGATATAATCCCAGCCAGTGTCCCTGGGTCAGAGGTGAAACTGCGCGATGCTGCTCATGAGCTTAACGAAGAAAAACGCAAGTCTGCCCGCAGGAAAGAGTAATACATTTATTTATTTTTAATCCATAAGAATGCATAAGTCAATCCTGATAATGAAACAACTGTCACAGCTTGTCTGGCAGCTTAGAAATCATAAAAATGGTAAAAAGAGAGTGGTATTACTCAGTAGCTTCTATTGCCATTTATTCACATGCTTGCTCTCACAGATAATTCTAGAATGCCAGAATCTTAAACTTTGAAAAGTATGTTAGACTTCTTTTAACATGCCTTTTTTCTTTTTAGAAATAATGTGAAATAAATGTGTAAGGGGAGGAGGAAAGACAAAAGTTAAATGACTGTAACAAGTGAAAAGTGTTAGAGAAAAAATTCCGTCTCTTTCCCCATTTTTTTTGGTGCTGGTTAGTAATGGAGGGATGTTACCTCGTATGTTTCCTTCATCTGTTGTCTCTCTTCGCATTTCAGTTCTCAGATTTTTTTCTTGCAGCAGTGGAAAAAGCAAAAGCCGATGAGGAGAAAGATGTGTTCTGGTTATTATGCATTCGTAATGATCTAACAGACTGAGCTTTGATTATTCTTTCTGTTTTCACCTAAGGTTCATTATGGCTGAGCTAATTCAGACAGAGAAGGCTTACGTAAGAGACCTCCGGGAATGCATGGATGTAAGTTCTCTTTTTTTTTCACTAATCTTTGAAGGCAAGATTCAATCCACTGCTTTCTGTTTCTTTCTGGTTTTAACAGCTGAGCATGATTGGTTTGCAGTCATAGGAACAAATTAAGTATCTTTACTGCTATTAAGGAGAAACTTAGAATTGCATCTGATAACAGCCATTTCAGAATTCATCCTTCATGTTTTGCTTTTGTCAGTACTGAGTTTGAGCATTTGTTCCTTTCCCAATTCATAATTGTGTGTGGGGGTTTTGTTTTGGAGAGAGGAGGGAAAAAGGAGGGGTTTACTTTATTTGCTTTGCTAGCAATAGAGAAGAGCTTGTGCTAATTCTCTTATTATCTGTATCACATGTTCTGCTACTGGCTGACTTTTTGAATAGAAATTCAGAGAGATTCCATGGAAAAGTGCCCAGTAATTGTTATGCTGAAGCAAGTAATGTTCAGTGGTAGCTGTTGCACAAAGCATGAACTTCTAGACTGCAGACATGACCTTGATAAGGAATATCCTGAAGCATTAGAGGTTGTCAAGAACACTGTGCATTTTAAATTATGAAGTCTCGGGGACTATGTTAAATTGTCAGTTTTAGAACTTTGATTTCGCTGTCAAAATCACAAGGTGTATTTGACACAACA